ACCGTATATATATTTACAAACTTATTGCAGAACATTAGTTTATTATTACTTGATTTAATATTTAATAATATATTATAAAAAATTCAAATATAAAATTGCCCAATCATAATTTAATTAGTAGCCCGAAATAAGCATTTTGAGCTATTCATTGATCAATCCAAGTTTAATGGCATTGAATATTTCTTCAAATATAAACGTAAAAACTTGAGTTTGACCTGCCTAACATTAGCCCTTTTTGCGGCATGGCTTAGTTTTCTAAAAAAACCTAACTTAGTCCAAAAAATTATATATATATAATTCATATAGTGTAAATAAAAATAAAATAAAAAATTGGAAGAAACAATAATTCCAAGTGCTTTTTAAACAAATTGTTATATTTTCCTCTTAAGTTAGCCTGTGCTTTGATCTTTCTTTTCCGTTCACGACACATAATTTTTCTATTTAAAATTTGAATATTATATTTCCATTTTATAAATCGATGACCTTAATTCAGGTATACAACATTATTATTTGAGTGTATAACCATGTAATAACACATAATCAATCAATAGATTGAAAAATTTGATTCAAAATACAATACAGTAAAATCTTGATTTTCTTTACCTCTTTTTACTGGTCTCTTACATTTTTTGACTGATGCGAGTATAAAGCTGGGCTCACAAACAAACATCTAATGATTATTATAATTATTCTTGTGTAGAAGACAGGTTAATTAGTGTCCACAAAAGCATTGGGCTCTAGCTCTCCAACCTCTGCCTTTGGTACCAGCGTTGAATGATCATTAAGTTGAAATTATGGTATCAAATTAGTCATGAATAGGAATCATAGCAAGCAGGCAGAAGCAAAATATTTAATTAAAGGAGGATTGTACTTGGACCGTAATTACAATTATAGTTCATTTTACAATAATAAATTTTATTTTTTTTTTTATTAAATTAATTATTTTATCTCACTTTCTCTTCTTTTTCAATTTATTTCTCTTTTTATTATTAAAAAAACATATTCAAAGTTATACCAATGCATGGAGATTTCTCTGTCAAGAACCCGGCCTAACTTCTCAACCCTTTGTGCCATTCTAACCGATGAAAAATCCAAAAATACCTAACACACACTATCTCTGCCCTTCTTAGAGGGATCGAACCCACACAATATGAGAGTGCAGAGGTAATTATTTCTTGTCTTGGTATGATTTTCTTGTTTTCTTTATTTCCACTTCTCCATAGGTTTTTGCAAAATCTTAGGAAATGTATAATAATAATAATAATACACAAGAAATATCGTGGCTGCGTAAATATGTTAATAAAAAAGAAAGTTTGAAGAAATTTAACCAAACTTTTTATAGCAAGACCCTTAAGATTTTAGTTTCATACTAGTGACAAACTTGAATGCACAACAACTCTATAAAAAATTTTCCAGTCTCCGATGCCAATGACGAGCAAGTGTTAAACCCCCAAGGTACACAGTACACACACACACCCCTTTCCCCTTATGAATAACAATGGCATTGGGGTCAAGTATGTCTTGTTTTCTATAGTGTTACTTTGCTAGGATCAATCGCCATTGGCTTAAGCATCAGAGACTAGTTTTCACCCACACCCCATTACCAACAACTAAAGATAGCACACTACCAAATCAGAAAGAGGACGACACAAGCTTTTTTGTATTTCATTTCGTTCTTGTTTATAACGGGCATGTATAACTATGTTTCAATTCTCTATCCCCCACAAAAACAAAGTAATAGGATTCAAATAAAATGCTAGCGATAATACGTTGATTACTCGTCAATAATCCACTCAAATCTTATTAAGTCATTTACATGTAAGCCACACTGTATATCTATCGAACTATTTTCTCTATATTATTACATAAATGATTACGCATTGTTTGTATTTAACTATATATGTATTCAGAGTTAAGATCAAGTTCACTTCATAAGTGGTGTGCATAATTGGTTATCAACTACGCATCACCCCTTTAATCACACGAGTTTCCTCTTAAAAAAAAAAGGATCGATGATTTATTATTCATTTCAATAGTTTGGTTTATATTTATTAAAGTAAATTATTTAATTTCATTTTAAATTTACTTTAATCTGAATAAAATAAATACTTAATTAATATTTTTTATAAAATATGAATAAATTAATTTTATTTTCTATTCCTTTTAATTTTATTCTTCATAAATTTTAAAATTTCTAATGTGATTATTATTATTATATACATTTATGTATGTTTCCTTACACACTCCTTTCTCTACAAATATTTTTTTTTTTTATGATTTTTATAAAAAAAGCATCAATAGTTTTTTAACTTTAGTTAAAAAATATAAATATATATTTCTAAATAGAATAATTATTAAACTTTGTATGCATTTATTTATTATGAAATTTATTAGTGACTTTCGTTTAGTATTTATATAAATAGATATATTTATTTATTTAATATATAAATTATTAAACTAATATTTAATATTATAAATATTTCTAAAATATAATATAAATTTATATATAATTATCTTTTATTAATTTGATGAATTAATTATTTTTTAGAATATAGACTAAAAAATTAGTGTTTCACAGTTTTTAAATAATTTTGTATATAGACGGTATTGTACACATTATATTTTTTTATTATAAGTTAATTTTTTTTAAAATATTATTTATAATACTTTTTTAATATGTATTCAAAGATATATAATAAAAATTATTAAATATTAAAAATACATAAATTTATTAATTTTAGTACATTTATGATATTAGTACCATATTTTTTAATAAATTGTAGTATTTTTTTATATTATATTAACATTCTTAAAAGCAGATTAAAAACATTATATTTAAAAGGAATCTACTATCTTTTGATCAACAATCTCACTCCAACATCCGAATTTTCATGTCCATGGATGAAAAATTAATACAAGTTTGTGAGTTTCAATGCAACGTTTTGAAGTTTGGCTACACGCCATTCCATGATTAAAACTTTAGCTCCTCTGCTTTAGTCTGCTTGCGTCACCCCAAAATAAAAATATTCTCTCTTTATTCAGTGCCCTTTAAGCTCCTTTCTTCTTAACTGTGTTCCGTAAAGCATTATATCATTCCCCTCTTTTATTTTAATAATGAACTAATTTGACTTTGACAAAGTGGTACGCAGTTTCATAATCAAATTTACAAAGTAAAATTCACTTAAATTTAATAATGGAGGTGCTCTCAGAAAATTCGGCTGTGGTTAAATTTATTCAAGTTAAAATAGTCACCAAAGGCTGATTCACACGCGTTTGCCACGTGTCATATGATTTGATGGCGCTCTTTTGAGTCCTTAAATTGTAATATGATGAAAGTGGGGAGGGGCATTTGTCGTAATAAAAAAATGTACTATCTATACCTAGTTTCTCGGTACGGTTTCAGGACATGTTTCTCTTGTCGGGGCCAATCGAGCAGTTGCTTAATGCGACGCCGTTTCTTTGCGTTTCATTGTCCGTAATGCCGACAAAGATACCTTTAAGTTCCCCTTCCAACAAATTCAGCAGAGTCAGAGAACAATTTTTTAAGTATTCAACCAAATAAATGTTTTAAATTGTTATGTATATAGTAGTTTTGAGTTTCATTTTATAACATGTAAAGAACCACATTCACTGAATAGTTATTCTTTTTTTCAAAAATATTAATAACTCTCATCGTAACTAAAAAAATATTATAGATGAAGGAATATGGAGACGAAGAAATGATAACTTTTTTTTACCGTTAATTTAAATTTAAGATTTATAAATATAATTAATTCTAAATTTATGATTAATAAGTATTTATTTTTTTACTTTAAAAAATAAAAAAATTTCACGAATATAAGTGAAATTTTGGGTGGGATAAAATCGTGATTTATTTTTCACTTTTTATATTTTATTAAAAATTATATTAAAAGTTACAATTTTTATTAAAATAATTATTTTTATTCATTCAAGTAAAAAAAATATCTTTTTCTCTTTTTTCATGTAAATAATGCATTTTTGTCTTTTAATCTATTTCTCAACTTTTAATTTTTTATTTCATAAAAAATAGCTTAAATGAATGTCACCATGGTTTTTATTAAAAAATTATTAACTTTAACCAATATTATTATAATATTCCTTAATTAAACTATATTAAATAAGGGGGATAAATAAAATATATTTCAACGTGTATTAATTTGAGGTGATAAATAAATTGTTCAAAAGTGAAAACGAAAAAAAGAAAAGATAGATTCTAATTTATTTTGTATTTACCAAAATAGGCATCCCGGTTATTCCACTTGGCATTGAGTTACATGCACCTCCTTTTGATTAAAACTACGGAATTTGCCACCGGATTGGGCGAATCCTGAAGCTGGATGAGAGGGGGCAAAGTTGTCCTGTGGAATGAAGACGAGAGAGAGTGGGATGATAATGTAATTTGGTCTGAGGATGGATTATGTTTGGGCTTAGGAAAAGAGAAAAAGTGAAGATGAAAAGAAAAGGGGAATGGGTTGCATCCCTAAAATGAAAAACCTCAATGATTTTACTGTGAAAGCTGTCCCGTCCCGTCCTTCACTGCCATCTTGACAAATTAAGATGGGTTACAGTCAATGGGCTCAGAATTGCAGGCCATACCAATTTCATGCTAAGAATCACTCCCCGGGTCAACTCGCTGCTAACCGAGTCATCATTCTTCCCACAAAAACCCTTCTCCCCTCAACCAAAACCACTCGGGCCCTTTGCCTTTAAACCCACCCAAGGTGGAGTCAAAATCAAATTCCCAAGATTAAATAAAACAATTACTATTCTACACTATACTCTTGTAATAACTAATAAACTGTAGGGTCATACTTCAATATGAGTCCAAGCCAGCATATTTATTATTCACATCTAACCTCAAGTGGGGTCAACAACTTAACCATGGATTAGAACCAGGGTTAAAAAACAAGTGGTTAAGAAGCACCACCACATAACCCTGATTTTTTATTATCAACAGTCATCGCTCAGACCATCATCGTCATCATCATCAACAACAACTACATCTTTCCCTCCCCTCCTACATCCTCCTCTTCGTTTTTCCACCCTTTTTCTTCACCTCCCCCAAAGTAATCTCTTTTTCCTCTCCCTTTTCATTTCCTCTTCCTCACCCCCAAATTATTATTTTCACTTATAAAACAGTGGCATCATCAGCAAAAGCAGGAGAAAGCTCCAAACTTCAATTCATGGAGAGTGAGATTTCATAATTCATACTTCTAATCTGCTCCACCCAACCCTAGCTAGCTAGCAAACCCCATAAAAAGCCAATCTTTTTTTTATATATATATATATATATTACTTTTAAATTTGGGGGTGTTATTTTAAATATTTTTAAGCAGCACCCTAGATGTTTGAGCCATGGACATAACCCCAACAACAACGATCAACAACACTCCCACGAGTGCAACAAAATCCCCAGAACATGACACCGAAACTCCGACCAGAATCACCACCACCGCCACAACAACCAACAAACCCTTGTCTTTCTCCAACGGCGTCCTCAAGCGCCACCCTTACCCTCACCACCACCACCATCACCCCCACCCCATGGCCACCACTAACCACCCAGTTCCAGTCACCTACAAAGAATGTCTCAAAAATCATGCCGCCAACTTAGGTGGCCACGCCTTAGACGGTTGCGGCGAGTTCATGCCTTCCCCCAACGCCACCGCCGCAGACCCAAGTTCCATAAAATGCGCCGCCTGCGGCTGCCACCGCAATTTCCACCGCCGGGAACCGGAAGAACCACCCATCTCCTCAACCACCCACGTCATCGAGTACCAACCCCACCACCGCCACCACCCTCCGCCGCCACCGTTCCAAGCCTCGAATCGCAGCCCCAATTCGGCGTCTCCGCCACCGATCTCCTCCTCTTACTACCCTTCCGCACCGCACATGCTCCTCTCCCTCTCCACCGGCCTGGCGCCGCCGCCGGAAAGCACGGCTGCACCCTCCGGCGCGTTGGCCTCACCTGGGTCCCACACAAGGAAGCGATTTAGAACCAAGTTCAGCCAGGAGCAGAAGGAGAAGATGCATAGGTTCGCAGAGAGAGTTGGGTGGAAGATGCAGAAGAGAGACGAAGATTTGGTTCAAGAGTTTTGCAACGAGGTTGGGGTCGATAGAGGAGTGCTTAAGGTTTGGATGCATAACAATAAGAACACTCTTGCCAAAAAAGATAATAATAATAGTATTATTAATAATGATAATAATAATGCCAATGGCGGTGACAAGAGCTTTGAAGACCCTAACAACGCCAACAACGACGATGACGCTGAAATCAATGGCAACGATCGTGCTGAGGATCCAACTCGTCATCACTATGGTGGCCCCAACGTTGCTGCTAATGGATCTTCTTCTTCTTCTTGATCTTTTTGTTGGAGAGAAAGAGAAAAAAAAATATGTTAGATAGGTTAATGATGCTATTAATTAGTGGTTTCTCTTCTTTTTTTTTTTAATTGTTTAGTTTTATATTATTAATGAGATCACCTTTCTTAAGGATATTTAACATGGCAGAGAATGATATCCAGAAGGGAATTTATTTTGTGCTTTAAAACGGTTTAATTCGAAATTAATTAGTGTTAGTTGTACTGTTAGTGCTCACTAATACTGGCTTCCTTTTCTCGTATGTATTTATGTCTGAATGTTTATCTTTGGCGTGATTTTCTGCCTCTGCTCTTCGCTTGGTTTGTTTGATTAGAGAGTGGTGTGAACAGTGGAGTTGGCATGCAGTGTCATTATTTTGTGTTTTTTTCGTTGAGTCTGAGAAGATGATGAAAAGCTTTCTGTGATTTCTCTCTTTCTTTCTCCCCCGGAAGACATGGAATAATAATGAATTTTTCTTCACATCTCGTGTTCGAGGGAAAGAGGCAGAAAGTGTTGTTATTTACAAGGTGTTACTATTAAATTAAATTATATATTATGGGAGGTGGTGAAATGCTGGTTCTTTTATGTTCGTATGGTCCTGTGTGTTGCCATGCTCTTTCTTTATTCACGAGTTGATAGAAGAGACATAAACATCTCATATTCTATTAGCGGGTGTATCAAAGATGTAAGCTTTTTGCTAATCCAAGTATGGCTTAGATAAGGGTATATTTAATTAGTTTAGGAAAAGATAATATATTTAAGGGGAGACAATGTGGCTAATGAATCCAAAAGAAACCTTGATTATGCTTTAATTATTCTATCTAATCAAGCATGCAATCCTCTTACAGGACTTGAACTATACATTATCCCATCCTAATACTATTTTATTAAGATAACATCATGTCATAGTGTAATCTAACAATGAATAGAATCCATTCTCCCGGAAATATTTGCGGGCACTTTCCTTTTAAGGGAAGTAGATTTCTTTATTAATATAAATAATAAGAACATTTACTAATATTAAAGTGATTTCAATTACTGAGTGTCTTGTCCTCCACACTAAACGTTATGGGTGTGTTTTGTTTTCCATCACTGGCTCACTCACCTTATCACTGGCTCACTCACCTTATTAATTTATTTGTTCTTGGGTCCACTGTGTGGTTTGTTTTGGATTTTGGTTTATTGATGAAGTGAGTAATCTTGTTTTGGTGGGGGTGGGACCCACGAGGGTTGGTTATCCTTTGTTCTGCTAACCAGCAAGTCATGGGCTGGTTCTGGACCCCTTAATTGCCCCTTAAAAACAGGGAGCCTCATACAGAGAATGAGCAACTTTGTCAATTTTCCCCCACTAAATACAACAGTTACCCACTGTGGGAATTTCGTTTCTTTCGCATCTTTGAATCCATATCTGTTTTTTTACTTCCTCACTTTATTCCAATTTGAATCAGATGATAAAATTATTAAAAGTCACAAAGTTCTTATGCAACAAATTAAACGTTACTCTACTGACAAGACTTCGTTTCAGGGGCACTTTTTATGTTAAAATAGCCTTTGTTAATCGATTCATACGTTTATTAATTAAAAAAAAGTTGAACATGCAACAATGTAATCTTTTTAAAACTGAATTTATATTTTCTTTTTATAAAAAAAAAAAAGAGAGAGAGTAGGAAAAATAGGTGTTTCTCTCTTCAATTTTTTTCCAACGAAGGAATGTGAAAAAAAAAATGTAAAAGTAAACCGTGTTGGTTTATTGTTGAACAATGATGTCTGCATTTCTATTTACTTTGTAGAAAGTGATTTGGGACTGGGAGTGCATCTGCGCCTTACTATTATTGACGGCAAACACTGTTAAATGTTGGCTCAGTTTTGGTCTTTGTGCGGAGCATGGAATTGGACACATTGGATTTCAAATTAAATTTTAAAAATAAAATAAAGGATAAATGTTTAAGTATAAGTATTGCGCAAACATATCATAACTGTACCTCCTGCAGTGAATTTGCAGGTTACTCAAATCTGCATTGACATGAACCTGGCTTAGCTTAGTGGGTTTCTTCAAGAGCACTCAAGGACACGATATTTGTTTGGATTGGTTCAACAAAGGTTGCTGTTTGTGAATTCTCCTATTTAGTTTCCTGAGTTTTATGTTAATGAATATCCTACGGAAAATTAGGAAGATTTTGATTTTTTTTTATTTCTTACTTGATATATTTTTATTTTTAATTATAAAATCATCAAAGTGTTTTCATTTTTCATTATAAACATTTTGAGACGGAAATGGTGGAAATATTTTCTTGTTTGATTATTTTCTTCTCAAAATATCACAAAATTTTTTTTTATGATTTTTGTAATCCATAAATAAAACGTATCAAGTATCAACTAAATTATTTTTTCATTCAGTATACGATATTAACATGTCTTGAATTATGAATGGTTCTTTAGAGTAAATAACTAATGTTATATTATTGAAAATTTATAACGTTAAACATGTACTATAAAGAATATTAGATGAATATAACCTCGGTAAAATTCTCCCTTGATTTAAATTATAAGATGGATGGTATAAAAGAGGGTTCCTTATAATTCTTCTAATGTTGTCTTTATCCATATTATAGTATTCTTAGAAACGTCGGCATTCCCATCTGGGTCAATAAAACAATTAACATTCCCGTTGAACTAAATTTAAAAGGTGTCATTTCGGAGCACATTTTGTTAATAACACAGTGGAGTTAAATTTGTCCAACATGCCCAAATTCCGCATATTGAGACATCCTTATCATAGGATAATTGTCTCCTTTTGCTTTTGGTTGAGGATTAAGAAGAAGATAATGTTGAGATGGTGCGGTGCACTTATCTTAATAATGCAATGTTACTTAATATGGGAGTTAACTTGTTTTGGGGTCAATAAAAATATAATTATGGTTAACTTCATCTATAGTGAGGTGATAGGCAACTTTCTGTCCCTACCTAAAAATTACACTGTGCCAAGGTGATGTGACCCTCTAATTCCTCATTTACATGATTAGATCAATGAACTTAGTTCTTCTAACTTCTAACTTCTAACTTCTAACTTATTCTAATTCTAATCCCTCACCAATAAACAACTCACCTTTTTGGTCGTGCTATGTTTCTATTGACACGTGTCCGTACAGGTGCTCTTTTCAATTTTCAAACATTCACATTTATTAGCCAAATTTGCTTAGTTAGACGCCACTCTCTGAAATGAAATCTCCCGTTTAAGTAAATTAATTAAAAAATAGTTTGGATGCTTTATCTTCACCGATGTGACGTTTGTCATACAAACAGAGGTAACAACACACAATACAGAAAAAGTCAAGCGGAAATTGATGGAAAATTTAAAATTTTATAATACTATTTCTATTTATAATATTTTTAAAATTTTAATATTAATTAATACTTTTTATTCAAAATGTTAACTTTCTTTTTATAATTAAATCTAAAAGCTTAAAATAATAAAACTTTATCAAAATATTTATCATATTATTATAAATCTACTTTTTAAAAAGGCTTATTATTAAAATAATAATTTGATTATCAGTATAAATAAATTTTATACTAATATTATCTGTTAAGATAATTTTTATGGATCAAATAAATATATAAAATGTTTAACATTTTATATTTTATAATATGATATTGAATATTGTCCTTGTCTTTCTTGTATCACTCACTTCTTTCACGTAATTGGAGTTCTGCTATTCTGCAGGGTACAGCGTCAGCATCTCACTTGGACGCAACTTCGGGAGTCATTCTGTACAAAACCTGTTCAACCATCATTTCCTACGCAGTTTCATTATGGGGTTAAAAACACATTAAAAAAATTATATAAAATAATAATTAATACTGTTCAATTAACGTAGATCTATACATATTTAAGTATATTATTATTTGAAATCAATTTTATGATTAACTAGATTAAAATTAAAATTAAAATTAAAATATTATTTTTATAATATTTTATTTAATTCGAGTAAATTTATTTTTTCTAAAAAATATCTGTAATGTAATTTTTTTATAATAATATACCTTGAATATATATTATTTCTTCTATCTTTTGTGATATTAATTCAGTTAGTATTATTGAAATTATAACAGGATTTATGATATTAACCAATTCTTTTGAAGATTAAACAAAAGTATAATATTAATCTCGTGAGATATATGTGTTTATTTTTAAATTTTTTAAAATTAACATATTAGTTAGATTAATATTATTTAATTATAACTGTAATGATATTGTTTTTATTATTGCATATTTTAATGAATAAATTATTTTATTTTATTTATAAAAAAGCCAAATTGCTTACTAATATCTTAAATATTTGTCTGATACTAAATTTATTCTTTAAAAATTTGAGGTGTCTAATAAACATTTAAATCTTTTTTTAATAGATATCAATTTTTGTATCTTGAATTTTTATGTGAGATCTTCTCATAAGAATTGGAACTAAGAAAAAATACTACTACTTGTCAAATTAAATTTTTAACATATTTTTTAAAAAATATACACCATCAATTTTTTAAAATATATTATAAATATATTCTTACACCATAATTTTTGAATGATAATATAATAAATCTTTATTTTATCAATATTTTTTTAAAATAAATAAATAAAGATTATATTATATATTTTACTTAAAATTAAAATATTTAATTTCATTAATATATTAAATCTTGTAATTTAAAAAAAAATATTTGTTACAATTAATTAAAACTTCTTACTAATTGTATCTTAACTTAGAACGTAAATTAAGAAATAAAAAATATTTTTTGAAGAATGATATTAAAAATTACGATAAATATATAATTAATAAAACAATTTTCTAAAACTAAAAGAAACATATCATTAAATACTAAAGGTTCATTGTGTTGTGTGCATAGACCTTTCATCTGGCCTTTCCATTTGTCCTCCATGCGGACCACTTGCTGGTTACACACTTACACTGAACTTTACTACTAATAATAAAATGCACATTTATTATATCCTAAAACGTGCATTATCCTCATCTTAAGCATTCAGTGGTTTATTCACCCAATCACTGTTTTACATGGTTTCTCTGTTTTATATTTTTATTTATGTTTCAAATTTTTATTATTTTCAAAAATTAATTTTTTATGTTACAGATATTTTTTATATGAGATAATTCAATTCAAAGTAAAATTATCGTGAATAATAATTTTGTTTTTTAAGTATTTAATATAATTAATTATCAAATACCCTATTCTTATTTAATGTTATATAATTATTTTAACTAATTATTATTATTATTATATTTTTTATTTATAATATTTTACCTATTTTTAAAAAATAGAACATAAATAAGAATATTTTAATCAAATATTTAAAGGCAAATTTTTTATTTAAAATTAATTAATGTTTAAGATTTTTTATAAGAATTAAACAAAATATTCAACCTCTTG